GCCGCTCGAAACTCATCGCAAGATATCAAAAGGGCCCAGATGAAGCTCCATAGTCCACTATCAAGATCCATCATCGCCCTTCCTTTGATCATTTGTGTCCTCAATTTCCATGTGCTGTACGCTCCATTGGCCAATGTTTCCCAATCCACAAAAACCGAAAGCGTCAAACTCACCACAGTAGTTGCTGCGGCGAGCAAGGTGGTTCACCTCCTGGAGCCTAAATAAGCGGAAATAGTCAGGTTTAAGTGACAGATCTCGGTATTTTCGCGCGTATTCTCTTTCCACTGTGTTTACAATCACGCCTGCCCTCCACCACAGAGCAAGGCATCGAAATGCAGGCACCACGTGAAAACTCACCCGCGCTTGACGAGCGGCTCGACGATGGGGGACACGTCGGCGGGCAGAAAGCTGTAGACGTTGAACGTCATGGTTGTTATGTGTTTATTGGTATGTAGATTTCGAGAGATTCCCAACCCGTCCGAAAAAACTTTCCCAGGAAACCCTGCATGAAGCGGCGAGGGGAGTCTGTTTCTGCTTTATATCGCAGCCTCGCAGGGCAAGGAGGTGAACACAACCCAATCGCCCGGTTGGACCTCGTGTGCAGTGGAGGAGAAGCGATGCAGCATCTATTTTGAGTCTCAATAAATTATTTCCACGGAGGGCAAAGGCGCCCAGCCTGTGTTTGCTGGCACCCCTCCGAGTTCCCATAAGGAGGAAGCTACTTCCGGTTGGTATTACTATCGTGTAACATTATTACTATGTGGTGTGATACCATGTCATACAACGGGAGTACGAGCAGGGGAGGAATTTTTTGGGCGTACAATTTCGGTGGTCGATCAATTGAACACAGGGCGAGTGACATGGTCACTGCGCCGAGTATTTTGTGTACGGGGTGAATATGCATTATGAGTTGTGAGTTGTGTCTTGGGTTTTGTGGGTAGTTTTTGGCTTTTTGGGGTTGATGGCTGTGGCGCAAAATTGGGAGTGTGTTGCTCCTTTGCTTACCCACGAAATCGTGCTGGACCCTGATGCACCCGGTTGATGACTTTGACAGCTGTGGTCTGGGCCCGTGCACCACTAGAGCAATAGCTGAGAAACAGCTGAATGAATACTATGCGTACTCTCAGGACGTTTCTGTGGAAAACTTCTTTTGCTGCGGATGCTGTTCAGCGAGCACCCGGGCCCGCCAAGAGCAGTTAAGCGCGGACTAATCCGTCAAATCTGTCTCTTCGTCATATGAATATTTTTTCACCAAAGATGAGTTCATCCCGCTGGAATTATGCCCATCAACTTTGATATTTCACAGCATTAGTTATAGGCAACAATTTTGCTATTCAAGAATCAGCAAACGGGGTTGGAAGTTTGACAGGTTTGAGCTTTGGGGTGCCACCTCATGATTGCTGAGTCATCCCTGTTGATCCGAGTGTGCCACAGTGTGCGGCAATGCGGCCAAGAATGGAAGTGTCTATTTTTCTACATTCTACGTCACCCTGTATCACCAGTTCATTATACTTTGGGGTACACATGCTGCGCCATTTCCCCTTTAATCCCCAATGTCCATGTCCAGGCACCCCCCCCGATCAGCCATCTGATCAATGACACCGCGTTTGTGCCTGGCCAAAACACCCACGTCAAAAACCGGCACTGGGCAGGCAGGTTTGTTGTTTGAGTTTCACTTTGCCAAGGCGAACGACCTCCCGAGTCCTTACTCAAGGAAGAACTTCGCCGTCTTTGTCAGGTACACAATTACCACGTGTCAGTCGATATCAGCACGAGAAAAGGCACCGCCGACAGACTAAACTGCTGGTCCGTCTATCCGTGTCCCACTTCATACTCTTCATACCCCTCTCTTATTCGGACAGGTCCGTCCACCCCCCACGCTCTTGCCACAGCCAAACTCCGCCTTCTTCGCGGTCAACTACTCGCTTACACACTGCAAGAGTCGCACACACCTGAGAAAACCTCGCCAGTCTCATTCATCGAAAAATGGCCTTTCAAGGCTTACGGCGCACAGTCGCGGGCATCAACGCCCATGACCACAAAGAGCTGAACGTCTTGATAAAGGAGGAGTCTGACGTCATAAAGGAGTTTAAAGTACTGGGGAAGGAGCTGGGTGAAGGTATGTTGAGCTGGCATGCTTTATTTCTTAGTTTACTCCTTTGCGATTGACGGCAGACGTTTGTTACATCTTTACATTTTGCTAGCTGGAAAGTACATGCTGGCGTGGGGAAAACTGGAATACGACGACTTTGTGGACATCACTGATAAACTGTCAATATTATTTGACGAGCACACCAAGTTTATTGCTACTTTGGCTGGTAAGTCTTGTGATTGGGTGAAACATGGCGCAGGGGATGGTCGGGATTGGAGTGTTATCAGCTACTTTTCAAGAAGTTGAGCATCATGATGGGGATCGTCAACAACATTCAAGCAATGGGATCACTTCCACCTCCTCTTCATCCGTCAACTCACACTCAAAACACCAGACCGCTACAATGATTACCGCACAACCCTCAAAACCGTCCGGGCCAAAGAAGACGACCTCTATACACAAAAGCAACGCGTCCGCCACACGCAGGAAAAACTAAAAGCCGAAATCAAAAAGGGACGGCCGGCGGAGTCGTTACGTTCGGAGCTCGCGACTGTGGAGAAGGAGTATACGGAGAGTTGTGCGGCTCATGAGGGATTTAAGAGGGCGCAGTTTCAGAAGGCTTTGCATTGTCAATTTGATGCGTGGATGGAGTATGCGCAGAAGGTTGGTTGGCTGTTTTGGATGGCGGGGTGGGTGGTGGGGTGGGGTGGGTGGTGGGGAGTGGGCTGAGTGTGAGAGTCTTGAAAGCGGGGTGCTGGAAGGTGGGGATATGGTGATTTGGACATTGGCCATCACTGGAGGCGGCAAGGCGTCAAGCGACAGGTTGATTGAATGTGAATGCGGTCGCAAAGAGGTTGTGCAATTTCTTGATCACGGTTCTCCATCACGTCGGTCAGGATGTGAGGCATGGTGATCCAGTGGGATCATAATCGCGGTCCATATATCATCATGATGTGACTGTGCACAACGAGTTTCGCAACTCATCATGCCCATCTGCAAACCATCAGGTCACGATATTCGCAACATTCGGAAAATACCTCGCCGATCAAATCCCACAGGGAACGCTAACTGCTGGTCAGGAGTTACCCCACTACACAGGTAAGGTTCCCACCCCTCACCAACATTCAAATCATCACCACATCTTACATCCCTCAAAAACCCCCAGGCACAGAAACCACCAAAAAAATCGTAACCGACTTCCTCAAAACCCTCAAAGAATCCACCAAACCCGCTCCATCCCCACAACCACCCGGAACACCCTTAACAGGTTCCATCCGCTCCGCATCCCCTGAGGAACTTGGCCGCCAAAACAGCGAACGTTCTATCCGTCATCCCTCTGTTGATTCCGCCGCTCATTATACTACTGTTGACCCGCAGGGTTATGTCGATCCCCAGTATGATAGGAGACAGAGTTCGCCGTCGGGAGGGGTGGGTCAGAGTCCGGGGCAGGGGAGGCGGTATGTACAGGCTGTGTTGCCGGGGCAGGGTGGGGCGGGGGCCGAGAGGGGGGGAAGTGGGACGTACCCAACCATGGGGTACGCGTCTTCAACCTACTCCACCCTCCCTTTCGTCAATAACTATGCGACGATGGGGAGCGGGTCTGATGTCGGCGGTGTCGGACCTAACGGATATCAAGTCCAACCGGGAAATAGGTATAGTGCGCCGGGGGGTGTGCCGGGGTATTATGATCAGGCGCAGGGGGGACAGCAACAACATCCGGGAATACAACATAGCCATTCGAATCCGCACCTATCAGTTCCGGGTCCGATGGCTACGCCGCAGGTACGGCCGGCGTATACGTATGATCCTTCGGGGCCCGTGACGAATGGGCCGTATTATGGGAGTCCGCCGGGGCAGGGGTATCAGCAGCAACCTAATGGGGCGGGGTATGGCGGTGGGACGGGTGCGTATGGTGGGGGGTCCTATCCCGGTGGGGGAAGAACGTCAGGAGGAGGAGGTGGGGGAGAGACGTTACTCTGTCCGCTGTGTGAAGGCACGGTGAGGAAGGTAGATAATGACCGGCATTTGGAGAGTAATTGTCGGGAGTTTGTTGTTGGGAGGGGGAGTGGTGGTGGTGGTGGGGGAGGGAGCACGCCGTATGGGGGTGTTAGTGATGATGAGTTGAGGGCTAGGTTGAATGGGTTGAGGACTTCTTGAAGGGTGGGGAGGGGAAGGGTGATGGTGATTTTTTATGAGCGTAGATTTTTGTTCATGATGACTCCGATACCGTGTATATATTTGTATGTGTATATTCCTATGTTCAATTTATGGAAAGAAGGTACTAGGGCCTTTTTCTGATATGTAAGAAAACTCACAGTTGATTGCCACTTTATATTTCTTGTTCATTTCTTCTTTTGTATCTAGCAACGTTTTTTGTTACTCGACTCGCGGTTCATGACATATGATGATGCACGGAACGATGCGGGGTCACAGCTCAGTTGGGCGGGGGGAAATGATGAATGATTCGCAGATGCAACTTTTGGAACCGGATTGAAATTGTGACACATGGACAGTACTCTTTTGTTTTTGATGCGCCACCCCGTCCGCCCCTCACCGTCATTGGAGTGTATTTTCTTCTTTCCCCAACTTCTCTGCTTGTAGCGGTGATGGTTTCGCCCGTAAATGTCACCTTGTGATTTGCCCATAGCGCCGACTCTCTCACTGTGCTCTCCCCTTTGTGTGTATGTTCATGTTCCGACAGAAGAAGGCAAATGGGGTCGGGCGCTAGGTTCGGCCACCATCCCCCATTTTGGTAATTGTGAAAGCTTACATTCGATGCTACCATCTTCGTTGGGGATTTTTGAGATGTATTCCAATTTACTTGTCGGAAGTGCCCAACCACCAAAATAGTGAGCGATAAGTGGTTTTATTGTATATAAACATGTGCAATTGTACATGTTCCAACCATCCGGTCATAGCTCAGTTGGTAGTAGCAACAGACTGTAGTGCAATCAAGCAATCTGTGGGTCCCCGGTTCGACTCCGGGTGACCGGACTTTTGGTAGAGTGAGTTATTCGTATTTTGTCTTTCTTTTGTTGAAGTCCATGGTGACTGTAATATCCACGAAACCTCTTTACAAATAGAGAGGGCTTTCATGTTGATTTGCAAAGATGGAGAATAATGCGAAAGGGCGCGTCAAAGGATCAAGAATCATGCATCGCTGGAAATGTGTTGAAACCTTGATGCTCGCTTTGGATTGTAGTCCCTTCCTTAAGTTTGTCCATGGGCCTTCTTTTGCATTACAGACCGGAACTTCGAAGGAAGCAAAGGTTGAGTGGGACTTTCTGGTTGGCATGAGAATAGTGATCAAATCACAAATGTGTCGGTACGTGAGAGGGGATTTGTGTGGCCGGTGGAAGGACCAATCCGTTGGGCATCCTCCACGGGTCAGTGGAAGAACCGTGCGGTCGACTCGGCCCTGGCTGTGACGCTGATCGCAAACGGTGGCATCAAGCGATAAGCATTTGCAACAAACCTCCGGGTTCTTCGTCGGGGTGTAACTGCCAAGATGAACACACGGAGAATGTTGAAAACTCACATGTCGCCGTTTCTTCCTGACTTCACGCGTCGAGGCTTCTTGTGTCGAATCTGCATCTGCGCTCAGGTAATTGGACAGCCGGAGAGCTTTACCATCAACAAACTCTTTTGCTGCTGGGCCGTTGAACCTTTGTCAGTGAGGGATGATCAGTTGGAAACAGCAAAACCTTCTTGACATTCCATCATCCGGATGGTCCAAAAAGTTGACCATTATCAAGCCCTGGTCACAGAGGTAACTTACATGTCCTCCCCTCCTCCGAAAGTTTCGACACCAGGTTCGCCCGCATATAAAAGCCTATCAAAACAGCCTTGGAAGTTCAAACGTCAGCGCATTCAATTGCTACGAATCACACCAGCCTTTCAACCATATACAGGACAGCCCTTTTGGCGGGGGGGGCGTGTGGGGGGGGGGGCGGGGGGCGGAGGGGCGGCGGGGGG